GCCGCGTGCCAGTCGGTGCCTCCGCGCATGCGAGTGCCGCAGCGCTCCTGCGAGCGCCTTCCCGGCAGTGCTTCTGAGCGCGCTCGCGCGCCTGAAAGCACCCGCGCGCTACCGCCGATGGGCGCTCTCGAGCAATCGCCTGGGCGCGGGGTTCGGCCGTCGTTGCTGGGCGCCCCACGGCTACAATGGCGCCCCATGTGTCCTCCCATGGCCTCCAATGGCTTCCCGCCCCGCTGGCCTTGGGCGACCGGGTCAGCCGTTGTTGGTGGCCCCCCCGCGGCAGAGTGCGTTCTCCAGTATCCGCTTGTGGCTGTGCCTATGCTGGTGCCTCGCCCGCCGCGGCTTTGCCCCCGTGGATTCGGATGGTTTCGCGCGCAATGTTCCGATAAATTGTCGTTTTGGGCCAGTGCTCCGATTTTAAATTTCTGTATGGATAATTCCATGAAGCTTAGCCCGGCGCCAGAATCGAAAGTGCGACACCAGGTCAAATACCAGCGTTCGGCGAGCAACACAAGTTGATATCGCCGCGTTGGCGCAAAATCGTCGCCGGCAACCCATTTGGTTTTGCCGGGGGGCCCGGCACCCCCCGCATTTCGATTTTCATGCCACCAGGTTGGCCAATCATGATGCAGGCTGCCTGCTAGCATGTGGCGAAGGCAACAAGACTGGATGAATCGTCGCTACATGTGTTGTTGGCATTCCGGCTGGTGTATTTTTCGCGCCCAGGGTTTCGTGTCTCCTTCGGGCCTTTTTACGAGGTTCGGTCTTGATGGTACGAGGGACGGGTTTCGGGTTGGGTTTAAGTTGGTGGTTTTCTAAGTTGCGTCATCTTGCACGCTGACCGCTCGCTGGTTCAGGCCAGGAGCTCCCGAATTGAGTCTCGAGCAGGCTGGTGCCGGCAAGCTGGCCACGGAGCTTATATCGGTCGGGTAGTTGCGGTGGGTCGGGATCTCGCCCCCCCCTCTTCCCACCCACTGGACGCTACGCACCCTCCTGCGCCCTCCTTGCTCCTCCTTCTCATCCGCCCTCCCTCCTCCGCCTCGTCGATCTGGTCGTCGCGTCATCGCCGTCGTCGCCCTCCTCATCGTCTTTGTCATCCTTCTCGTCGCCTTTACCTTCCTCATCATCCTCCCTCCCCTCGTCGTTGTCGCCGTCATCTTCTTCATACCACTCAACCTGGTGATCATAGGCAGAGAGGGACTCAGGTGGACAGGGGGGGGGAGGCGGAGAAAAAGACGGTTGACTACGACAAGGTTGATGAGGAGGACGAGGAGGAGATGTAGGTCGACAGTGACGGTTGGGATGGTTTGGCGGTTGCGTGCTCGAGCACGTTCGAGCCCAAATTTCTGGGATTGCTCAGGCGGTTTGCGTGTTTTGTTTGCGCCCCGCCACTTCGCTTATCAGAGCCATAGGCTCGTCGCGATGTAGGAGGCGTGGAATGGGGGCACTTCAAGGATGAACCGAAAGAGTGGCTTCACGTCCTCTTTCGCACCCTGATTGTGAGGCTGTATCAGGCATTCGCTCGTTTGGTGGGCCAGCCCCTGCTCTTTTGAGAGCTCCACGGTCATCACGACATTGCAGGCGCTGCATTGGGGCACCCCAAAATGAAGCCGCCAAGGGGTAGGGCACTTGCCCGTTCGCGCACAAGTTGTGGCGAGATCTCCGGCGGTTTGCTGGTTTGGCGGCTCTGATCATTGCATCGTGAAAGCAGCATGGCAACCGCGGCAGGCGCAGCATGTGGGCACCCAGTGGGCCAGCTTCTGCTCTTCTAAGAGCCTCATGGTCACGGCGATATAGCAGGCGTGTCACCTCGACATGCCAAGGAGGAGCCGCAGGGGCTAGCACGATTGCCCGTTCGTTGTCAGGCTGTGGAGATTATCATGCGATTCGATCGCTTGGTGGGCCAGACTTCTCCCTTTTGAGGGCCGATGGCCACCGCGATATAGCAGGCGTAGCACGTTGGCACCCCAACGAAGAGCCGCAAAGTGTAGGAAGCTTTCCCGTTCGCGCCCAGGCTGTGGGGATGTCTCAGGCGGTTCGCTCGTTTGGTGGACCAGACTCCCTGCTCTTTCGAGAGCCCTATGGTCACCGCGATATAACAGGCGTGGCTCTCAAGCATCCCAAGCAGTAGCCGCCACGGACTAGGAGACTTACTTGTTCGCTGCCAGATTGTGGGGATGTCTCAGGTGTTTCGTTCGTGCAGTGGACCAAACTCTGCTATGCGGTGCGCCTCAAGACTGCTGCGATATAGCAGGTATGGCACTCAGGCGCCCGACGGAGGAGCCGCCAGGAGGTGCTGCGCTTGCCCGTCCGCGCCTAGACTGGTTAGGCGCTCGTTTGGCGGCTCCGATCCCTCTGCTTTCAGAGCCCCGTGATCAGGCATATCAGTTGGGCACCGACTCTTCTGCTGTGAGAGCCTTGTGATGTCCGATCTGTATCAGGCGTGGCACTTGGGCACCCCAAGGGGGAGACGCCAGGGAGTGTAGGAAGTGGCCTTGTGAGCCCCAAGTAGGATCCGCCAAGGGATGTTACGCTTGCCAGTTCGCGCCCAGATCGTGGGAACTCTCGGACGCAATGCTGGCTTGGGCACAAGATCATCCCGTGCAGCAGGCATTGCATTTGGGCACTCCAACGTGGAGGTCCGCCAGGGAGCAATCGGTCGCCACAGCCTTTGGATACAGACGGGACTGCCAGGAGCTGAGATGCACATAATATGAGGATTCCCGAGTCGGACAACACGCTACTGTCAGCTTCTGGCGGCCGTTAGTCTCTGAGCTTGGGGACAGTCAAGAGGAAAACTCAGGATGACAAGCTGGTCCGGGGGCGCCCGAGAGACCCCAGACGCAGGCCTCCCAGAAGCCTCTGGAGGCCCTTGCGTGGAACCAGGCTTCCGACGAAATGATTTTTGTCAAGCTGAGCGGCTTTCCTTGATTTCGGCCCTCTAGGGCTCGCTCGTGGGCCCTGGAGCCAGCAAAAATGCATCCGGGGCGGCAAGACACTCCCAGGGAAGCGGTCGGGACCTCCCTGAGGCCGCTGGTCGATAACGCTACATCGTCGGATGTGATCGCATCTGCTGGCTGAAGGGGAGGAGGAGGTGACGGAGGAGGAGGAGGAGGAGCAGAATGCGCAGGAACACCTGGCCCGAGCATGAGACTGCCTCCAGGGCGGCGCCAGGGAATCGGAGGGGCCGCGGGCAGATGGCTGTTACTCGCAGGTAGCAGTGCAGTGGGGTTCTGGATTGTGAATATCCGTGATGACGGTCGTCTTCGAGACAGAAGGTTTCATCAGACATCGGAGGCGTCCCTGCGTTCGATCCGCCATCGCCAACCGCAACGCCAGTTTCGACTTGGCTCTTTTCATGCAGTACTGGCAAGGCGCTACCTTTCAGGCGGGAGTGGCATGCCTGCAATACCCCCCAAAGGCTTTCAGAGCTGCGCACTGGAGTGCTAAATGTACAACAGACGTATCGGACTCAGACAATGTATCGCAGCATGCTGGCTCACATCGTGACGCGTATGCGCACCGAGCGGGCACACATAATGTTTCTGTCGGACGTGCACACGCCCGAATGGATATTCGGCAAGGATAGAACACCCGCGGTATGTGGAATGGAGGAGTTTACGATGTTCGTTTTTGGCCGAGTGGCCATCATCTTATCCAGATACCTTGTGAGCAAGTGGCAGCAGGACGGCTCAGTGTTAGCAACGCCAGATTCCGACAGGTGGATAGGCATGCGGTTTCGTTTTCAGGGCACGCAGTATGTGATCTGTGCGCAGTACGCGCCGACCCAGGGAGCCAAGTACCAGCGGAAAGCGCATTTCGAACAGGGTTCCCTTTCTACTCCACAGTCTACGACGCTCGGGGTGCCAGGTGATCGTGGGGGGCGATGCAAAGTTTCATATTGGGGCCGACCTTCGGTGCGACAAGAGCCAAGGCTTCGCAGGCGCCATGACGTTGAATACCCCCACATCGAAGTTGTCGCACCAGCTCGTCGACTGGGCCCAGGGGGAGAACCTTCGAGCAGTGGATTCGTTTCTGCCGTGCACGAGAAGGGGGACGTGGTTCCACGGAGTGTTAAAGAAATGGTGCGAGCATGATTTTGTCCTAGCAACGTTCGGGGGCACGAGACGGAGGCGGAGACGTCTGACGACAACGGAGTTCGCGGGGTGCGGTTATCGGGGCAAGTTCGCGTCTTTCCTGCCGGTCGGTCGAGCGCTATTTCCTGGCCGTCGAAAGCTTGAGGGCACTCGAGACAGCCAGCCCAACAAACCTCTTCGCTGGGATCGAGCTCGTGGGCCAGGGGAGATCGCGGTCAACCTTCGGAGGGAGCGGGAGCAGAAGTTGGAGGAGAACGACGCGACGAGAGCGAGCCGGAGCCAAGCCGGGGTGCCCGACTGGGGGGAAATCGTCTCGAATATCGCCGACGTTGCCGAGAACATGGTAGGACGAGGATCCCGTCGAAACGACTTGCCGTGCCTGGAGAGATGCCGACCCGAAATATTTCAGAGTCGAGAGCGAGTTGCGGGCAGCTATCGCGTGGCGCAGCAGGCCAAGGGGGCCCCGAGTCTTCTTGCCCAGAAAGGCCGCCATGCCCATGTCAAGAAATCCGAGAGAGTTTTCGAGTACCAGAAAAAGGGGGAAGGGATCAAGGAATTGCGCGGCGATGTTCTGTGGGCCTATGCAAATCACGAAGTAGGGAGACAACACGGGCTCAGAGACGCGAATTTTCAGGACGTCGAGGAGATCAAACCCGAGGACCGTCGCCGGCACTTCGATAAAACCAGCGGGACGCAAGCCACCCCGAAGGTTCAGGTCGCCGCCCATCGAGATCAGAAGCCGATCGCCCAGGAGTTAGATGCGCCGCCGACGCTCGCCGAGCTCGCGCGCGATGAAGAGCACGCGCACCTCAGCTCCTGGGGGCGACGAGATTACCGCGGATATGCTTCGAAGCGCCCAGATATCTACACAGGCGAGAGTGTTCGAGCTGATCTGCGCGACGTGGGAGGAGGCCCCGCAGGTAGGACTCCAGCCGCATTGGAATGTCGCGGCGCATCAGGCCGCTGCTTTGATGCTATGGGAGCAGAAGGTCTCACGGACATCGCTCGACAACTGTCGGGGGATATGTGCGTTGACAATGCCGGCCCGTCTCGTTGCCAAGATTGCGATTACGAGAGCCACCGCCCATTTCGAGGAGCAGGGGATGTCTGTCAACGAGCAGTGGGGTTTTCGCAGGGGGGATCGACACGAGACATTATTTGAGCCACGCGAGTGTTATGCGAGCTGCACGCCGAGTGTGAGCTGCACCGACACAGATCACGAGCAGCGCGCAAGCGAGCAGGCACGCGGAAACAACATCGAGCGCTGTGGGAGACCGAGCACGACGCGTTCCAAAAGAGACGAGTTGTGTTGCATTTGGCGGACACCAGGAAAGCCTCTACCCCACAGTGCCAAGGGAGCCGCTTTGGGGCGCCCTCAGGATCGAAGGTCTACCGCCGACGCTAGCTGCTGCATACCGCCGCCTACACTCCGAAACCGAGTACCAGGTCAGATTGCGACACGGGACCTCCAGCGTATACCGCCTTGTTCGCGGCTCGCGCGAAGGGCGCGCCAGCTCTGTGACTTTGCAACGTATATCACAATTGCTCCATGAAGGAGCTCTTGGACATATTGCCTGGGATTCAGTTGCAGCGCTCCAAACGTTTGAGCTGTGCCACGGGGCGGAAGCAGCGGCGCGACCCCGACGACGTGGTCCAGAAGGTCTTCCGCGCGATGGGATTCACCGACCATGTTTCATCGTGGACCGAGGCCAAGCGCCTCGAGGCCACGCAGCGCACGGTGTCCGACGCCCTGGGCGACAGAGGCGAAGAGGCGCATCCAGGAAAGGACGAGTTCCTGCAGACAGGCGTGCACGACGAGGACGGAGCGTTGCCTGTAGGCTTCCACCACACCGCGCGCGCTGGGCGCGCGGGTCGACCCCGATGGGGGGGGTGGGGGGGAGGGGGGGGCAGGATGGACGCGAGCAAGAGGACGCAGTCGGCGTCCAAAGCGTGGGTCAGGCTGAAGTACCCGACGGGCGCCGCTAAGCTACCGCTGAAGGCTCAGGGCCAGATCTTCACAGCCGCGGTGATCAAACGCCTACAACACGGGAGCGAGGTGCGCGCATACTCCACCACAGTCGTTCGTGGGAAGTTGCGCTCGCCATCTGATATATCGCGCTCGTGGTTTGACGCTTCATGAAGATAAACCTGATTGTGAACTACGAATGGTTGGGGCTCGAGCTGATCGAGGTGCAGGTCATCCACAGAGCGATTTCACACCTTGGGCACCTTGGCCGCTACGACGACAGCCGATGGGAGGCCCAGATGTTGGGAGCAGCCATTGCCGACCGCCCTGGGCGCGCCGAGCCGTCAGGACGGCATCGCCACCTTGGGCAGTGGCATTGGCGTCTGCTCCAGCTCGCGATGGCCAAGATGCAGATCCCAGAGACCGAATGGCACGTTCGATGGCGAGAGCTGGCCAATGTCGAGGCCGGAAAGACGTGGGCGGAGCTGGCGGCGAAGGCCAAGGTCGAGGCGCACGCCAGAGCGCACGCCGCCGCCAACGCCGAGGCCGGGGGCCGCCCTCCACCGCGCCTACTTCCTTGGAGAAGCAAGCGCGAGGAGACGGTCACGAGGAAAGCAGTCAGTGCCTCAGCAGATCCTTGCGGGACCCCACCAGGCCTTCCCCCACCAGCGCCCGCAGCCGCCCCCATGTCGACCGCGAGGAGGAGGCATCGAGGAACGCAGCCCCCAAGAGCAGAGAACAAAGATCATGGTCATGGACCCCTGCAGCAGGACCCCAAGCCGAAGGCCCCGCCCCGTCGCGGTCGTCGTTTAGCCCAAGCCATGACCAAGCCGAGGGAGAGAAAGCAGGCGGGCGTGAAGGGCGCGACTTCGCCACGCAAATTTCGTGGCACGACGGTGAGGAGGATGGACCACATATACACATGCAAGCATGCGCCCTTCGAGGACTGGGCGAAAGTGGCACGGCGCAGAGCAGCGCGTCGAGCCAAGCAGCGTCCTCCCACAAGCATCGGGGCATGGCAATGCCAACGCAAGTCTTGCAACGCCAAGTTCGAGAATCAGCACAGTCTCACACTGCACTTCTAGACATGTCAACACCATCGGCCCCTTCTGTGCACGCAGCTGCATGTGCTCGGGCGCGCCGAGTTCCACGTGCCATTCGAGACTGGATCGTCGGTGTCTCGCTGTCTCCTTTGTGGCGGGCCACGCTTGTCGCTCTGGCGCCCGCTGAGGTTGCGGGGGGCGCCGGCGAGGCCCAACCGCAGAAGGAGAAGGATGGGAAGGAACGTCGTGGAGAGGCAGGCGCCGGCGAAGAAGACTTGACCAGGGGCGACAAGAAGGAGTTGAGGGCGCACGTGCCGGAAGGTAGCCAGCGCCCCGTAGTCTTCAAGTGCAGGATGGAGCTCATACAGAAGGAGCTGGAGGCCGTGGTGGAGACCTCGGCGGAGGCAAAGACCACGGTCGCACACTATGCAGCGCTGACCCCGACGGCCTTCGACAGCTTTCTCTACCGTGCGAGGCCGCGCCATCCACATCCAGAGGAGGGTCGGCCATGGGCGCGGGCTCTCATGATGCAGGAGCAGTGCGATCCGCAGATCAGGTCCCAGATAAAAGAGTTGTTTGCCATCCACAATGCAAAGCTATACGCGCCCCCCCCCCCCCCCCCCGCACACATTGGACGGGCCGCTACTGAAGCGGCTGCTGGAGCGCAAGAGCGGCGGCGCTGAGGGAGACGACGGAGCAGGCGGAGGCGCGGGGCAGCGCAGAGTGAAGCATCGCAGGAGATGAGCCGCCCCAGCCCCCTGCGGGGGGCCGCGAGAGTCAGCCAAGGCCTCTCGGGGCCCATGAAGTTTTGACCACGCTATTTTCTCTTGAGGGACGAGAGCCCTCGCCTGCATACATCAACTTAGTGTACGGCACGAAGGCTGTTATAATCCTGGTACCTGTCTGATGGCATCTGGGTGATGCTACTGGCTGTTCAGTAAACGAGAAATAAGAGATTGTAGACTGATGATGGGAATCTATGGTGTTCATCCTGTTGCTGGCGTATTTTGGGAGTGGTGTCTGACAGATATATGCCGCGGACTGGGTCCTCGCCGTCGTGTGCGGGCACGATCTGAGGGGAAGCGGATCTTCCAGGCGGGGTCTCTCTCCCTCCGCCATCCTCCCTCGGCGGGGTTCTCGCCCCTTTGGCGGCGGGGCCTTGCGGCAGTGCGCGGGGAGGGCCGCGTAGCGGGCGTCTCGCGGCTCGGCCCAGGGACGAGGGCCGTTGCGAGTCGTTGCTCGATAAGCAGGAGCAGGAGGAGGAAGGAGGAGGAGGAGGAGAAGGAGGAGCAGCTGGAGGTGCGACCCTGCATGGAGGAGGAGGAGGGAGGAGGAGGAGGAGGAGGAGGAGGGAGGAGGAGGAGGAGGAAAGGAGGAGGGGAGGAGAGGAGGAGGAGGGAGGAGGAGGAGGAGGAGGAGGAGGAGGAGGAGAGGAGGAGGGGGAGGAGGAGGAGGCGGAGCAGGAGCAGGAGCAACAGGAGAGGAGGAGGAAGGAGGCAGGAGGAGCAGGAGAGAACGGGGGATTGTGGAGTACATCGCCTTTCCGGAGGGTGTTTTCCCCTCCTCCTTCCCGTCGTCCTCTGTTTTCCCTTTCTCCTCCTCCTCGTCCTCCTCCTCTCCCTCCTCCTCCTCCTCCTCCTCATCCTCCTTCTCTTTCACCCCTCCTGCACCCCCCGTCCCCCCCAGAAAAAAACTGATCGGCACCCCGTGTTTTTGTCGCTATTTGTCCACATCATGAGCGGGATTTTTGTTTTCCTGGGCCTCCCTTTCTTTCTCATTATCCTTCTCTTCCGCTTCCTTCACTTCTACCATACAAACCATACCTGCCATACCCTACCAATTCCATGCGCACTCTATTATCACGTACTAGACTATACCATATCCTACCATAACATACCTTTCAAGTCCTCCCACCACTCCAGGGAGGCCCCGCCCGAGCAAGAAGGGTATCCCCAAACCATACTATGTAGAAGGTGTCGTGCCCCTCCCACCCCTCCAGGGAGGCCCCGCCCGAGCGAGGAGGGTATCTCCAAACCATACTATGTACAAGGTTTCGTGCCCGTCCCACCCCTCCACGGAGGCCCCGCCCGAGCGAGGAGGGTATCCCCAAACCATAGTATGTACCAGGTTTCGTGCCCCCGCCCGAGCGAGGAAGGTATCCCCAAACCATACGATGTGCAAGGGTTCGTGCCCCTCCCACCCATCAAGGGAGGCCCCGCCCGAGCGAGCGAGGAGAGTATGCCCAACGCATACTATGTACAAGGTTTCGTCCACAAACACACACACACACACTTCCAGGGAGGCCCCGCCCGAGCGAGGAGGGTATCCCCAAACCATACTATTTACAATGGTTCGTGCCCCTTCCACCCCTCCAGGGAGGCCCCGCCCGAGCGAGGAGGGTACCCCCCAAACCATACTATGTACAAGGTTTCGCGCCCCTCCCACCTCCAGGGAGGCCCCGCCCGAGCGAGGAGGGCATCCCCAAACCATACTATTTACAAGGGGTCGTGCCCCTCCCACCCTTCAGGGAGGCCCCGCCCGAGCGAGGAGGGCATCCCCAAACCATACTATTCACAAGGGTTCGTGCCCCTTTCACCCCCCCCACGGAGGCCCCGCCCGAGCGAGGAAGGTACTCCCCAAACCATACTAGTTACAAGGTTTCGTGCCCCTTTTGCACCCCTCCAGGGAGGCCGCGCCCGAGCGAGGAAGGTATCCCTAAACCATATGATTTACAAGGCTACTTGCTCCTTACACCTCTCCAGGGGGGGGCGCCCGGGCGAGGAGGATATCCCCAAACCATATTATTTACAAGGGTTCGTGCCCCTTCCACCCCTCCAGGGAGGCCCCGCCCGAGCGAGGAGGGTACCCCCCAAACCATACTATGTACAAGGTTTCGTGCCCCTCCCACCTCTCCAGGGAGGCCCCGCCCGAGCGAGGAGGGTACCCCCAAACCATACTATGTACAAGGTTTCGTGACGTGTCCCTCCCACCCTTCCAGGTGCATTCTGCCGAGCGCGGCCTCCTTTGACCGCAGCCTACACATCCATCCTCCCCCCATGTTGATTCCCCTCCTCGCCTCCGTCGGCCCTTCCATGACGATACATGGACATTCTAGGCCTTCGTTGTTTGGCACTGCTTTTTATGCCCTCGTGATCCCGCCAACCCCGCAACATCCTTGTGTGGGGAGCTCCGTTAGCATAATGATTGTTTTGTGTGGGGGGGGACGGGACTCCTCATCCTCCGCGTTGCTCCGCTCTTCTCATTACTCTCTCCCCCGCCCTCCTCCTTCCTCCCCCAGAAACGAGTTTTGTGTTTCTCCTGCACCTCCCCTCCCCCCCCAACAAAAAAAAAACTTGGAGCGACATCCCGTGTTGTTCCTCTCTCTCTCTCTCTCTCTTTCGGGGGCTCTCTCTCTCTCTCTCTTTCTCTCTTGGGGGGGAAGTGACTCCTCTTCCTCCGCGTTGCTCCGCTCTCCTCATTCCCCTCTCCCCCGCCCTCCTCCTCCTCCCTCCCCCCAAAAAAGGATTTCCCGAAGTGGCATTGCATTGGCATTAGGTTGGGATCGCCTTGGCATTGCGCTGGCATTGCGATGGCGCTGCTCTGGCACTGATCTGGCATTGCGCCGGCGAGTCCGAATTACTCCCTTCGCCGAAGGATTTCTATTGAAACCCTCCACAAAAAGGATTCTGATTGAAATCTACCACACAGGATTGCCCCCATTGGCATTGCATTGGCAGTGCATTGGGATCGCCATGGCATTGGTTTGCATTGCGTTGGCACTGCGTTGGCATTGCGCTGGCGAGTCCTAATCGGACGCTCCACAGGAAAACTTGTTATAATCCACCCCAACAAGAAGGATGCCGAGTGACCCCCACACACACACACACACAAGAGGGATTCCACTTGAAATCCTCCACAGAAGGACTGCATTCGAAGCCATTCACAAGGAGTCCGATTGAAATCCTCCGAACATGGGTTCGCAATGACATCATCCCAGAAGGATTCTCCTTGAAATACACAAAGGAAGGATACCCCAATCGGCATTGCTTAACATTGTGTTGCCATTGCGTTGGAAGTGCGCCAGCATTGCGCTGGCATTGCGCTGGCGAGTCCGAATGCCTCCCTTCGCAGAAGGATTCCTGCTGAAACCCTCCGCAGAAAGGATTCCTTTTGAAATCTACCACACAGGATTGCCCCCAACGACATTGCATTGGCATCTGATTCGGGTCGTCTTGGCATTGAGTTTGCAGTGCGTTGGCACTGTCTGAGCATCGCGCTGGCATTGCGCTGGCAAGTCCTAATGTCCCCCTTCCCCGAAGGATTCCGATTGCAACCCTCCACAAAAAGGATTCCTGTTGAAATCTACCGCAAAGGATTTACCCACATTGGCATTGGATTGGGGTCGCCTTGGCATTGGTTTGCCATTGCGTTGGCACTGCTTTAGGATTGCGCTGGCGAGTCCTAATGCTTCCCTACGCAGAAGGGTTCCTACTCAAACCCTCCGCAAAAAGGATTCCTTTTTCAAATCTACCACAAAGGATTGTCCTCAACGGCATTACATTGGCATCGGATTTGGGATCACATTGGCATTGCGTTGGCACTGCTTTGGCATTGCGCTGGCATTGCGCTGGCGAGTTCCAATGCCTCCCTTCGCAGAAGGACCCCTATTGCAATACCCAGAAGGATTCCTGTTGAAATCTACCGCAAAGGATTACCCACATTGGCATTGGATGTTGGGTCGCCTTGGCATTGGTTTGCCATTGCGTTGGCACGGCTTTAGCATTGCGCTGGCGAGTTCGAATGCCTCCCTTCGCAGAAGGATTCCTTTTGGAACCCTCCGAGAAAAAGGATTCTTTTTGAAATCTACCACACAGGATTGCCCCCAACGACATTGCATTGGCATCGCATTTGAGATCGCATTGGCATTTGCGCTTGCATTGTGTTGGCACTTCTTTGGCATTGCGCTGGCATTGCGCTGGCGAGTTCCAATGCCTCCCTTCGCAGAAGGGTTCTTATTGCAATACCCAGAAGGCTTCTTATTGAAATCTGCCACAAAGGATTATCCTCATTGGCATAGCATTGGCATGGAATTGGGGTCGCCTTGGCAATGGTTTGCCATTGCGTTGGCACTGCTTTAAAATTGCGCTGGCGAGTCCTAATGCCTCCCTACGCAGAAGGATTCCTATCGGAACCCTTTGACAAAAAAAGATTCCTTTTTGAAGTCTACCACACAGGATTGCCCCCAACGACATTGCAGTGGCATATCATTTGAGATCGCATAGGCATTTGCGCTTGCATTGCGCTGGCAGTGTGTTGGCATTGCTTTGGCATTGCGCTGGCATTGCGCTGGCGAGTTCCAATGCCTCCCTTCGCAGAAGGATTCTTATTGCAACCCCCAGGAGTATCCTTATTGACATCTACCACAAAGGATTACCCCCATTGGCATAGCATTGGCATTGGATTGGGATCGCCTTGGCATTGGTTTGGCATTGCGTTGGCACTGCTTTAGCATTGCGCTGGCATTATGCTGGCGAGTCCTCATGGTTCTCTCCTCAGAAAGACTCCTATTGAAACCCTCCACAAGAAGGTATCCGATCGAAACCCCCACAGGAAGGATTCCTAGTGAAATCCTCCAAAGGAGGATTCCTGTCGAAACCCTCCACAGAAGCATTCCTATCGAAATGCTTCGAGGAAGGATTCGTCATGACATCATCCACAGGAGGCTTCTTATTGAAACCCAGCGAAAGAAAAGAATCCCCAATTGGCATTGCATTGGCGTTGGTTAGCAATGTATTGGTATCACATCGGCATTGTTTCTTTGAAGAGGCTGGCAGAATAACGGTACAGCTTAAGAAGGAGTGCATATACTCATACATATAAGAGAGAGATAAGATAAGGATAGTGATGAAGATAAGGGTGCAAGCTCGTAAAAAAAAACCTCTGGAACACGGAGGTGCTCCACAATCCCCCGGCCTCGAGGAGGAAGAGGGAGGAAGGGGGAAGGAGGAGGGAGGAGGAGGAGGTGGAGGAGGAGGAGAAGGAGGAGGAAGGGGAGGAGGAGGAGGAGGAGGAGGAGGAGGAGGAGGAGGAGGAGGAGGGAGGAAGGGGGAAGGGGGAAGGAGGGAGGAGAGAGGAGGAGGAGGAGGAGGAGGAGGGAGGAGGAGGAGGAGCAGGAGCAGGAGGAGGAGGAGGAGCAGGCCCGACCCTGCCTGGAGGCCCAGAGGGCGCCGAGAGCGTCCGAGCAGTGCGCTCTTGCTCCAGCGCGGCTCGCCGCGCCTCGGCCCCGGGCCGCCCGCGGGGAGCGCGGCGGCGCCATGCCCACCGGGCGCAGCGGCGGGTGGTGCGGAGGCCGGGCACGCGCGAAATGGGTACGGGGACGATGTCGAGGGGACCGGCTCCCTCCTCCGCCTCTCCTCCTCCTCCTCCTCCTCCTCTCCTCCTCCTCCGCCTCTCCCTCCTCCGCCTCCTCGCCTCCTCCGCCTCCTCCTGCTCCTCCCTCCTCCTCATCCTCCCCCCTCCTCTCCTCCTCCTCCTCTCCTCTCCGCCTCCTCTCCTCCTTCCTCCGCCTCTCGCCTCCTCCGCCTCCTCCGCCTCCTCCTCCTCCGCCTCGTCCTCCTCCTCCTCCTCCTCCTCCTCCGCCAAGGCCCCGAGACCCTGGCGTCTCACTCGTCTCGTGCCGCGCGATTTCGTCGCCCAGCTTCGGGCCCCAGGAGCCCCACAGATCGATCCAGCCCAAGAAAGGACGCCGAAAGGTACAGTTTGGGCTCAGGTCGCGATGTTTCACGGTGATGCAGTTTTTCCGTTCGTAACGCCGGGACTGAGAGGAGGGCGGTGGTGGCTAGGGGGGATTTTCTGGCCAGGGCCATCAAAACTCTCCAGATATCACGGCCCCCTCGTTTTCTTTCGGGACGCCCCCTGGTCCCCCACTCGTCCGCGCATCTGCCTCGGTCCATGATTTGTCAACCCCCGTCTTGGACGCTCCCCGCCTGGACGCTCCCGGAAATGGGTACGATGCCCAACGGCAAGTGCTGTCCCGAGCCGACATCCGCTCTTGGGCAGGCGACCTTCTGTCTCGAGCTGACAACGTCCGCGGCGACGCCGACAGCGTGTCCTGCCCAAAACGTACAGGAACGGCTGTCCGCTTCTTTGCCATCCTTTCCGTACCCACGTCCGCCGTACCGAGAGGCGCGGGCTCTTCGGAGGGCACGTCGTCCTCCTCCTCCTCTTCCGCGGCGGACAGCTCCGAGGACTCCGCGGCCAGCTCTGGCGACCGGAGGGCGCCGGCGCCTGGACGCTTGCACCGGCCCTGAGGCCCAGGCCGATCCGCTGCAGGCCTCCCAGATTCGGGGTCTGCTGAAGGTGCCCCTGGCCCAAGGTGCCCCCCGCTTTTCGCTCCACTGCGGAGACCCTCGGGCCCCCTGGGCCTCGTAAGGGGTGCTCTAGAGGCCGCTGGGGCCTCCTGGGAAATCCTGGGGGCACTTTGGGCCGGGCACTTCTAGCAACACCCGACAGATGGGGTCAGAGTAGATGGGGTCGGATGATCGCACCACGTCGCCGCTGCTTCGGCGATGCGGCTCGATGTGGAGCCCGATGCTATCCATGCCCGATTGATGGTGAGTTTGATGATGATGATGATGATGATGATGATGATGATGATGATGATGATGATGATGATGATGATGATGATGATGATGACGATGATGATGATGATGATGATGATGATGATGATGATGATGATGATGATGATGATGATGATGATGATGATGATGATGATGATGATGATGATGCTGATGCTGATGCTGATGCTGATGCTGATGCTGATGCTGATGCTGATGCTGATGCTGATGCTGATGCTGATGCTGATGCTGAGGAGGAGGAGGAGGAGGAGGAGGAGAAGGAGGAGGAGGAGGAGGATGCAGGAGGCAGGAGGCCTCTATGGTCAGGAAGTTTGGGACAGCGTGTCGCCACGTCGGCCCTGGCTACACGCTGTGCCTCGCGAGCGGACAGCGCGTCGCGCCGCTCCGCGGGGCGGGAGACTCGGGAACGCTCGGGACACTGGCGCCGGGGGACCGGGAAGTGGCTAGCGTGTCGCGCCGAAGCGCGGTGGGCCAGAACCAGCGGAGCGACACGCCATCCAGAAGTTCCCGACCGCAGTAAGGCCTCCAGTGGGAAGCCGAAATCCAGCAAGTCGGGATCCGCAGTCGAGTCGAGTCGGAATCGGAATCCATCGAAGCCGAATCGAATCGAGCCAGGAGTCGAAATCAGCCCTGGTGCGCCTCGCCATGTCGTGCCAGGAGTACATGCCCGGCATGGCGTGTCGCCCGGGCCGCCGCCGCGACGCGCCGAGCAGAAGTTCCTGACCGTGCTCGGACCCCTTTTGGGAGGCCCCTGGGCCCTGGGCCCAGGGTCGGTTCGCGGGTCAGGAGGGCGCCGAAGGACAAGGAGGAGGAGGAGGAGGAGGTGGAGGAGGAGGAGGAGGAGGAGGAGCAGCAGGAGGAGGAGGAGGAGGAGGAGCAGCAGGAGGAGGGGAGGGGGTAGAAGAGGAGGAGGGAAGGAGGAGGAGGGAGGAGGAGGAGGAGGAGGAGGAGGAGGAGGAGGAGGAGGAGGAGCCGTAGCCATTTTGGCTCAAGGGGCCTGCTCCTGAACGACCCAACCTCTCTCAAGGGCGGCCACAGAGGGCCAGGTTGGGCGCGCAGCCCCCTCCAGCACGACCCCAGTCGAGGGGTCCCCACTGGCTGTCCGTGAGCGATGGCTGGACAGTGGCGCTGGAACACCAACACCTACAGGTGGGAGAAGAAGCAGCAGAAGCAGCAGAATCGGGAGTATGTCGTCTGCGAAGCGTGTGGCCGCTGGAAGTGGGCAGACAGACTCAAGAAGGACCCGTTGTGTGTGTGGCCATATGCTTGGCCCAGATCCTGCTGCTGCTCCTGATCTCTCGCAGCAGAAGTTCACCCTGGAGGACTTCATCAAGATGCTCAACAGGGGCGACCTCGGGGTGCCGATGGTCAACCGCATCAAGGAGACCGTCACGGTGCACTCCCCCGAGGGCCCGACCCCGAAGTCTCTCAGCGATGCCTTCCAGCTACGTCAGCAAGCAGTTGAACGGGCATCCAGACACAAAGATGCAGCATATGAGCGCGTTCTACATCTCCAAGAACAACTTGAAGACGCGATCCAATCTCAGTCGACGGCAGCCTTGGCGCTGGCGCAAGCCAAGGAGGCCGCAGCAGCAGCAGGCCGTGCCTACGCCGCTAGCGTGGGGAACCAAGGCCCAGCCGCAGATGACGACATGTCCATGGCGGGCAGCGACGCCTCCAACATCAGCGACTTTGCCGACCTCGACGAGGACGACTACGAGATCATGCGCAAGGTTGCCTAGGCGAAGCCGAAGCTCCAACGGCTCCTCGCCAGGGCGGAGGACCGCGCCAAGAAGAAGGCCCGCCGCGTGGCGGCGGCCGCCGCCGCCACGCCCGCCGCCGCCGCGCCCGCCGCTGGGGCAGCTGGCCAGCCAGGGAGCGCCAGCGCAGCCGCGGCCTTCTCCCTCGCGGCCAACGGTGCCACGCAGCGGCAGCCCATCGCCCCTGAGGTGGCCGCCCAGGCGCGAGCCGCCGCGGCCCAGGCGGAGAGCGCCCACAGCGGCGTCGCCGCCCAGGCAGGCCCAGGGCGAGGGTAACCTCACAATATAGCTTGCCAATATTACTTCGTGGAGTGAGAAGGCCGACAGATTTTGCTTAGCCCAGAAGCTTCCATAAGACTTTCTGGGTTTGACTAAGGTTCATAAGCCAGCGGGGGCCTCGAGGCCGCTCAGGAAGAAGTTTCGGATGCAATCCTGGTCCACTTACGTATGTCCAGCCTCGCCTACCACGAAAGGGGGTACACATGGGGGTGCACTCCTTGCCGCTCAAACTAGATACCACACTCACGCTAGATTCATGGGCGCCAAGGGCCGCCAGAAGCCGATTGTCAATGGGACTCAACGGGCTAGCTGTGTTCTGAGGCTCCAGACAGTAGATATCCTCCTCATCGGGGCTTACCTCTGGGACTCCATTGGGTACAAGGCCGCCAACAGGGATATTATGTGGGAGATTATTACCTTTGCGCGCGCTATGAGAATGCCCTACATCCTAGAAGGTGATTTCAACATGGACCCGTCCTCCATAGAGGGGGCCAGCATCCTATCGCACATGAATGGCACCATCGTCGTGCCAGGCATTCCCTATATTAACGCGGTGACAAAAACCACGATATATTTCTTCCTTGTTGATGAGCGTTTGGCTACGACCATCATTGTCAAGGGGCACTTGGATGGCCCCTGGAGCCCACACTACGGGCTCACCTTGGACATGCCGTGCGAGGTCTTTACCAAACAGGTACGGGCCATTGAGAGACATGCGCCAATACCTCGGGCCCTGGGACCTGCCCGCCCATGGGCTGAGTACTTCGAGAAGGCGTTTCACCTGGTCCAGGGAACCCAACATGCACAATATCCGACGTGTTTTGGTCACCATGACGATCAGCTTACCCAGACATCCGCAGTTCTCTGTAGGGCAGTGGAGCTCCAGCAGCGGGACATAGCAGCATCTGACATCGAGCGCCAAGCGGGGCTAGTGCCGCGCTTCGCTTGGAAGGCGCCCCTGCCGCCCGCGCCCAAGGAGGGACGCGCCAAGTCGGCCGCCACCCAGTGGGCTACCCTAGGCATCCGCGCGAAGGAGCGGGACCACGCGAAGGCAGATCACCAGCACTTTGAAAGGTTGCAGAAGTTTGTCGCGAACCTTGCAAGCAAGATCCCGTACCCAGATATGACTCCAGAGGATTCTTGGGTTCTTGAATCTTATCTTGGGGGATACTCCGACAAGGACACACAGGCTAAGGGGTTGGAGACCACAGATAGGGTCCAGCACCAGTTCTACCTTTCGGAGCTCCAGGAGTCTAGGGATGGTTTCAAAGAGTTTGTCTTGAACTCTCTCAAGAAAGGAAGAGGGGCCGTTCACGCCATCACCAGGGCCAACACTGGAGCCCAACCTGAGCCACTCGAGGACTTCCAAGGGCCCAGTGGGGAGATCATCACCGACCCCTACCTGGCCATGCACAAAAAGCTCGAATATTGGATGAACAAGTGGGACCCCCAGAGCAAACACCACCCGGCCCCCGTTGAACCTCAATGGGCCCGAAAGGTTCGAAGTCAGGCCACTGAGGAATGGGACTTAGACTATCACGACTGGGAGGTCAGCGACGTCTTTAACGCTGTCGCTCTGTACAAGGCCTCGGCCGCGCCAGGAGGTGACGGATGGCCAGTCCGAGACTTCCTTCTTCTGCAGGACGAGGGCCGCAAAGGTCTCACGAATCTGATTAACCAAATATGCCGCCGGCAACAGCTTCCCCCCCCAGGCCCCCCTCAACCTCATCTTTCTCCAGCCGAAAAATGCGGAGCGCGACAGACCCTTGACATTGACGACGGGGCTCTACCGGGTTATACCCAAGCTGTTCAGGACCGAGCTATCCTCTTGGGACCAGGACTCTGCGGGTTTCTGGGATCAGGCGCCCAGGGGGGAACGACGCGGTCAGGGCTGCGGTGCTGTCAGAAATCGCAGCTGAAATTGCCACGGCAGGGGGCACTTCCACGGATGAGGCCCTCCTCGACATCGAGAAGTGTTTCGATTCAGTTGAGCTCGAGTGGATGGCCCATTCAGCCCTACGTTTGAACTACCCTGCCCCTCCACTCGCGCTCGCACTCATGGTTCATCGGTGCACGAGGGTGCTCACGTCGACCATTGGATGTTCTGACTTTGCAGTACCAGATAAGTCGATGCTCCAAGGTTGCGGGCAAAGTTGCTCGCTGGCGCGTGCGTTTTGGGATCATGTGTTGGACAAGTCCCACAGAGAGTTCATGCCACTCAGCTTCCGCACATGGGTCGATGTCCTCCGAGTGCGCACGTGGGCATCGTCAGAGCATATTTTACACCTCCCCTGCTGCCATAGTCTCCCTGGGCGGGGACCTCGCTCGGCAAGGATGCAAGCTGTCTTCCAAGAGCTGCTTGATGGCGTCCAGTTCCTCTTTGGCAGCTGCTGCGGCTCAGGCGCTGGAGGCCCAAGGAGAGCCCATCACATGTCAGCGTCAAGGCAGAGATCTTGGGGTTGATGCTACATTAGGACGACAACGTAGATTAAGAGTCCGCAGAGCCAGACAAGCGGATGGGTTCTCCCGACTTAACAAGATTCGGAAGCTCTCGCAGAAGATCAAAGGGGCCCGAAGTCTCGTCAGCACTGGGGCGAAACCTCAATTGGTCTGGGGCTTCCAAGAACACGGAGTGGCCCCCACAGCCCTCAAGCTCCTCAGGGGGCGATTGGCTACTGCTGTGAGGCCCATCAGTAAATCTGGCTGCACTACCACCGCCCACGCCCTCTCCCCGAAGGGCAGCTTGGTTACCGATACCGATCCAGGATATTATGTTCCCTTGGGATGTCTGGAGCTCTGGTTTTCCATATTGAACCAGGAGGAGCACCTACACATGGGGATTGACAAACTTGGCCCGGGACCCTTGCCCGACTCCAAGGACCAGGTAGATGGAACAAGGTATACAGCCTCATGTCGTCCGTCCTCGCCTACCTCTTGGACTTCCGCTGGGAGGTCTCAGATCCATGGAGGCGGGCCAGCCCGTTCGGACAGCAGTATTTCGTCAAGCCAGGTGTCGAGGATGATCAGTCCTCAGTGCTCGCCGCCTTCTCTGCCTGCGTCACCCACAAGTACTGGGGGCAGGCGGCCGAGTTCCATTGTGGAGGAGGGGGAGAAGGAGGAGTTGATACCCACCAGTTTCGACACCATGTGGGGTGATTGCGGAAGAAATCCAAACAATTAGTTGCAGCTGCATATTATGTTGCCAATGGGTGCATCTGGCATGGAGCTCGGAGATTCAAAGCTGGAATGAAAGGCCCCCCCGAATGCTGGCGATGCGGGGCCCCAGTTGAGGACGCTGTTCACGCCTATTGGAATTGCCCAGCCCTCATTTCTATTGCATTAGAACATGACGAGACTCGGGACTCCCAACACCTCCTCCCGAGGGCCAGGGCTGAAAGAAACACATGTCCCATCAAGTGGTTTCGAGGACTACAGCCGCAGGAACAGACGGTTGGCTTCCTCAGCTCCAGACCCGTCAACTCTCAGGTATACGGTACCGGATGCCTCTACACGGGGCGTTTCACCTTCACCGAGACGCGGCTTGTCGGCACGGACGGCTCGGGAGGACAACATTCCGCCGATCCTCGCCTTCGCAGAGTAGGATGGGGCCTCGTCTTGATGGGCAGGGACCAATGGGCTCAGGGGACTCTCTATGGCCTCACACCAGGAGCCCAGACAGTCAATCGTGGGGAGCTCACTGCGGCTATATATGCTTTGGCCCTAGACGGGCCCATCGTCGTCGTCACGGATAGCGACTACATCATGAAAGGGGTCCGACGGGGAGAGAACTGGAAACACAGAACCAACTCTGATTTGTGGTCCCTCTTGTGGCAGGCATACCATGACAGGACCAGCCACACCGTCTTTAAGAAGACCAAGGCCCATGCCGCGCCGACAGACATCAGCGACGGCACCGTGCGGGCAGACTTCTACATTGCCAATGCCGCCGCCGACGCCGTTGCGCGCAGGGCGGCAGAGTTTTTCTCATTCACGGAGGAGGAGGTCAAAGAGGTGAAGGCCAGGGAGAAGGAGATGCAGCTGATCAGATCCCATCGCGCACGCGCCCAACATCTTAATTGGAAATATGGCCAGAACCTGAAGCAGCAGAAAATACCTAAGAGTGCACGAACACGTCGTCTTCGAGAATCTGAAATGAGCCCGCATTGCATTGTAAGGGATCCTGTAGACGAGTCAGTAAGATGTACGCGTTGCGCTGCTTTCTCTGGTAAGCCGTCTCCAGGGTGGGTTTCACAAGTTTGCCTGCCCAGGAAGTTTATTTTTGATGCCCACCCCTCCCACCACCCCAATATGTGCATGGTCAAAGGGATGATGTTTTGTGCCAAGTGCGGGGGGTGGGCCGCCTCGAAGGTTTCAAAGCTCGCCAGTCCTTGTGAAAAGCCGGCAAGCACGGGGATCAAAGCGTCTCGTAGGTTGCTGCAGGGACTGAAACCCAAAGGGTTACTTGAATGGCCGACGGGACAACTTGCTCATCTAGGAACGCAAGTTGCCACCCGATGCGGCCTCCCACGAGATAAGATTGTCTCGTGAGGCTTTCAGGAAGGGCCCTGGCGTGCAGGGACCCACCTTCAGTTGCAGATCAATTGGTCAATGGGAGGAGGAGGAGGAGGAGGAGGGGAGGAGGAGGAGGAGGAGGAGGAGGGGGCGCCGAGCCCGGGCGTGGTGGGGTCGGCCTGGGCCCACGGGGCCGGCGCGCGCACGCGTGCAGGGCGGGCGCCCAAGCGAGGCGAGGAGGGCAGGGGCACGGAGGTCCTGCGGGGGAAACTGGACATCGGAGAAGAAATGCCGGCAGACTCGGCCACGCGCAGAGGGAGGGGTAGTCGGGGGCGGCATAGAGGGGGGGGATGACTAGGGGAGGGATATCATGGCGTGGGCCAGGATATTTCCGCAGACTTCACGGCGCCTCTTCTTACTTCATTACGTCCCTGCCCCCACCCCTGGGCCGCGCACATGATGCCGCTGGCCATGATTTGCGCCCCCCCCACCCTTTGACGCCCCCCTCTTGGCCGCCCCCGAGGTAGGGGGAGGGGGGGAGGCTTCTGATCAGGGAAGCCTAAAACTCGCGTGCGGCAGAACTCGGGTTTGCCGACGCTTTTTGACGAGCGCGTCCTCGATTTTGACGGTCCAGTTTTCGTGGGATGCTTGCAGCGGGAGTTCGCGTCAAATTTCAGTCTGGGCCTCGTAATTTCCATGATGGCCAGGCCATCCCGAGTGCTCCGAACCCGAGTCTCACGTCTCCCCGATCTTAGAAGGAGGCTGCTTCTTTGAAGGCGCGGGCATTATCTAGATGTATGACGGACGCCTTCTCGGAAGCAGCCTCCTTCTAAGAAGCCTTCCCCCTCCCCCATTAACACCTTCGGCAGGCCGCCAAAAACGGCATACGGCAGGTTCGCATCGTGTCGACCTCGGGAGCCTTGAGACGGGGGTCAAGGCAAACGGGGGTCAGCCAGAGCGCCAGATCTTGCAGGATTCTGCAAAGCCAGGGTTGCACTTGCCTGGGCTTGCGTACAGGATCTTGCAGGACCATGCAGGATCTTGCAGGATCATGCAAAGCCTGACTGGCCCAGGTTTGCACTGACCTGGGTTAGTGCGTCCCCGATCAACGTTGGACGCCGCCGGCGATCCAGAATCGGTCGATGTTGAACGATCTGGCGTTTCGGGAACGGCCGATCGTCCAAGGTTGAACGATCTCCGCGGTGCCAGGTACCCACGCCGAAGTCGGCACGACACGAATCTGCCGTAAACATCCGCTTTCGACGGTCCGCGCGGATTTCTTGGATTTGCGCTGGACCTGCCGGAGCGCGCCAGGGGCGGCGCCAGAGGCGCTGGGGGGGCTCCAGCGCAGGTCCAAGAACTCAGCGCGGGCCGTTAAAATTGTATGGTTTGGCCGTTGTTTCTTCCTCTAGGACAGGCGCGTGGGCAACAGGCTGTCGCTGTGCCTGACCAACCACGTCGTCCGCAGGTACTTCAGGCGCTACGCCGCGCTACGGCGCGAGGATGGCTCCCGGGGCCTCGGGCCGGAGCGCATCGGGCTCATGGGCGTCGAAGTCGCTGGCGCGCTGCGGGTGCCCCACCAGATATTCAGGGAGCTGCCCACCGTCTTCGAGCGCTTCGACTTCGATGGCTGCGGCATGCTGAGCGAGGTCGAGTGCACGAACATGTTCAGGAGCGTGATGCGGCAGAAGCGCAAGGAGCTCCAGGGCCACGCCCGCGAGAACGCGGTGCCCGTGGCCACGCTGGGCGAGAGGGGCTACGTCGTGGAGCGTGAGCTTGGCCGGGGGGGGCAGGGCGTCATGTACAAGTGCTCCAAGGTCGGTAGCAGCGATCCCTACTGCGTGAAGTTCTACGACAAGTCTGTGGATGATGACATCGACGACGTCATAGAGGAGTATACTCTGATGAAGAGCCTCAGTAGCGAGTACATCGCCAAGACTTACGAGGTCTTCCAGGACGATTTGTATTATTATCGCAGACGCCCACGGCGAGGAACGGCCGCCCCCTGCCTTTCTGGAAACGCCTATGTGGTCAAAGGTTGGGCCACCATCCGAATAAGCTAGTGCACTACAATGTGTTCCCCAGCCGTTGTGGAAACCCTCGGGGGAACACGTGGGTGGGAAGAGGAAGGAGGAGAAGGAGGAGGATGCCTCTTGGGGCCCTCTTGGGACCCTCTTGGGGCGCTTCGGGGCCGTCTTGGAGGCCATCTTGGGCGTGTTGGAGGCCTTTTGGGCCGTGTTGGGGCTTAGGCCGTCATGGGGCCCTCTTGGGGGCCTCTTGGGCGATCTTGGGGACTTCTTGGGCCGTCTTGAGCCGTCGGAATGCCGAGAAGAAGCAAATTCCAAAATCCTTCAAAAACACAAGGAAAATCAATGATTTTGGCCTCTTCGGGCCCTCCTGGAGGACCTCTTGGAGCCCTCTTGGGCCGTCTGGGAGGCCTCTGGGGGGCCGTCTTGGGCTATCTTGGGCCGTCTTGGAGGCCGTCTTGGACCATCTTGGGCTGACTTGGAGGCCATCTTGGGCCATCTTCGCGATTTGTTGAGGATGTCCCGAGCGAAACGGCCGTTTCAGGGAGGAGTGTTCGTGGAGTTTGTGCACGTGGGCAATCCTCCCGGGACCCCGGCGGGACGGGCCGAAACCCATTGGGAGAGTTCTTTTGGAAAAAGAACCAAAACCAAAACCGAGAGGGTCCAGCACGCCAGGCACCCCTGCGATGAATCGACAGGGGGCGGCGGATCTAGTGGCATTCTGCCCATTCCGCCACCGTGCTTAGATAAAAGGTCAGAGACATCTTGGGTGCCTGTGGGGGTCCCTGAGCAGGCCTATCGGAAACCTCTTGGAGACGAGTTCTGTGGTGTTTGGGGCCCTCTCGGGGGCTTGGTTTTGACCTCCTCAGAACCTGATGCTGGGAGGGGGGCCCCTTGGGGGGCCTGCAGGCGGTCTCCGGGGGTCATCTTGGGGCGGAGGGCTTGAAACGTCGGTTCGTGTTCCTCCTGGGGCCCTCTTGGGCCGTCTTGTGGCCCTCCTGGACCGTCTTGGCGCCTTCTTGGCCCCCTCGTGGGGGCCCAGGAGGGCCGTCCTGGGGCGATCTCGGGAGCCCCCTGGGCCGTCATTGTCGGTCGTGAGCCCGAAAGGGCGACAACGCCAAAATCGTTTTCAAATCCGAGCAAAATCAAAGAGTTTGCCATAGTGGGTGGGCTCTTGAGGCCTCTGGGGTATATTGGAGAGATCTTGGCCCGACTCGGGGCCCTCCTGAACCGTCTTGGAGGCCGCTTGGGCTTCTGGGCCCGTCTTAGGGGCCTCTTGACTCCAAGACGTTCACGCGAGAGCACTCCCTGGTCACGCGAACACGCTCCCCGGCACGCGGCACGTCACCCGCTCGCCCCCTAATTATCGCCCCGGCAGAGCCGGGAATGTTGGAGCCCGTGCTTTCCGGGCCGAGGGCGGAGAATTCCAAGGGACCTGACGGGATGCGGTGGCGGATCTGGTGAACGAGCCATATTTTGGCGGTGACCTCACAAAGTTGACCAAGCGCGCACGCGACAGTGGCGTCTTGATGACCGAGGCCTGGTGGAGGGACATTTTCTCGCAGTGTCTGAAGGGCCTGGAGTTTTTGCATGGCAAGGCGATTATGCATTGTGACATCAAGGAAGATAACATCATGATCAGGAGTGACACGGGCTACGAGTCGCCAAAGGTCGTTCTCATCGATTTCGGTCTGGCCGAAGGCTTCTCCAGCACGAGCAAGGGCGCGAGCGGTACCCCTGGGTACATCCCGCTGGAGACGTTGGAAACAGGCTGGCTGCCAATGGGTTTGGGGTCAGCAAGCAGGAGCAAGTGACTGAGGTCCCGCGAGGTCCCCCAATCGAGCTCCCCCGAGCTCCTCGGAGGCTCCTCGAGGCCCTCCGAGGTCCTCCCCGGCCTCCCGGAGCCCTCGGAGAGGCCCAGATTCTCGAGGCTGGCTCCATGACCTTTGCCGAGGCTGGTGTTAAGTCGGGCACGTCCCTCTACAGGAGGAGTATTCAAAAACATTCAAAATACTGTGGCGACGATGTCTTGATTTGTGTTGACCATGTCTTGATATTTGTCGATTATTTTTCACTTGTCATCCAAAATCCGCCTGTAGGGGGACACGCCCGACCGAAGGCTGGTGGTACCCACGAGGTGACATTTTCAGCATGGGGGTCACCTTCCTCCAGCTGGTGATCGGGCGGACTCCCAGCGGAGACGGCACCGTGCTTGGGGTGCTGCAGGCAGAGGTCAGTGGCAGCGCGGCGGTGGTCAGGGCGGCCAAGGAGATGAGACTACCCTGGGAGCGCTTCCCTTTGGACAGCCGGCTTGAAGAAAAGGGGTGATGAGTTTAGTTGCCCTGATACACAACACGCAACCCGCAGCGTGTTCGCACGGAGCTCGACACGGGTATTGAAAGCGTGAACACGGCGCGCGTTGCGCTTCACAATGGGGGCATCAGGGCAGCTAAGATGATGAGTCGGTGGCGATCTTGGGGGAAAGTGAGAAGGGGCGGGTTTTCTCAGAAGGCTCGGAAGTCCCCCGGGCTTCCGAGAAGTTTTCTAAGCCATCCCGAAGACACCGAAAATGTCTCAGAAGGCGCAAGGGCCTCCGAGAAGTCCCGCCGCCCTCTGAGCAGGCCTCCTCCTTCCACCCACCCCCCTCGCTCGCCGCCGAACGAGGGGAGAAGAGCGACCCCGAGGTCTCGCGCCGTCGTCGGTCCCCCCCCCCCTCCAGGGCTCGTATCGATTCCTCCGATTCGATTCGATTTCGATTGATTCCTATTTCGATTCGATTTGACGTTGGATTCCGATTTGGATTCCGATTTCACAGTTGGGCATTACTACTCTGCTGATTTCCGCCGATTCGACTCCTCCCGACTTGGCTGCCGATTTCCGCCGACCCGATTCATTTCGATCGCCGATTCGACTTCTCGATTCGATCCTGGACTCTCCTGCCTCTCGCCCGGCGAGGACCTCCTCCTCCTCCTCCTCCTCCTCGCCCCTCCTCGCTCCTCGCTCCTCCCCCTCCCCCTCCCCCTCCCATCCTCCTACCTGGGGCCGTGGTGGTGGACACTCGGCCCACCCCCTCGCCCGGCGAGGACCTGCCCCTCCTGCGGGACCTGCTCGCCCAGATGCTGGACAGGGACCGCCGCGCGAGGCCCACGGCGGCTCGGGCCCGGAGGCACCGGTGGTTCTCCGCGGGGGCGGGGCCGCTCTCGCGGGCGTGCGCCCCCGAGGGGCGGGCCTGCCGGGAGGCGGCGGGCTGCGGGCGGGCGGTGCTGCTGGAGGAGCTGGTCACAGGCGGTCGGAGGGCGCACAGCGTCGGTATCGTTCCACCAATCTCAGAGGAGGAAGAGGAGCCCACACCTCTACCCCCTCGCCCGTTTTCCCCTCTGTGGGCCTCCTCCGAGGCCCTCGTCGCCACCGCTGGATTCGCCTCGAAATCCTGGTCAGAACGCACCCCGGGAGAGGTCCTGGGAGTAGCGGTATCGGTACCATTTGGTTTCCCCACAATCCCCATCGCCATCCCCATCCCCATCCCCTTCGAGACCCCCGCCAAATTACCCCCAACCAGTTGGGGATACACCCCTCGAAACCCGAAGGGAAGGACCTATATCCCCATCCCGGGGGGGAAATCTGCGAGTGGGGCCCAGGCCACGCCGCTCGGGATGGGGATCGGTCAAACGAGACTCAAGGGTGCGCCTGGCGGCCACGACGGCGGCGGCGGTGACGACGACGACGACGCCGACGACGGCGGCGGCTGCGGCGACGGCGACGGCGACGGCGACGGCAACGGCGACGGCGACGGCGAGGACGACGACACCGATCCTGGTTGGGCAGATCCTGGGCCGACTGAAAGACAGACTTGGCAACAAGAGCGACAAACAAAAATCCCCCCCTCCACCCCCTGGCCTTAACATTGGCTCGTATTGCCTGCGGGATGGCAGTTTCCAATGTTTCCTGGCCCCGCCTCTCCAGGCGGAGGGGGTCACCCGAAGTGGTTCTCCAACGCTTGTTGCAAAGCCTTCGTTCGACGGGATGCTCGGTGCACGTGCTCTCCTGGCCAAGACAGGACGGCGTGCAGCCCAGAGGGGCCCGGCCAGGATCGGTGTGGGCGGAAGCAGATGGCACAAGTCCCCAGCTTCGGAGGGATCTCCTAAGGTTGGAAATGGAAAGTCCAGGGTTCGCTAGGGACTGGCTTCTTTCCTAACCGCAGAAGCCCTCCCGAAATCTTCCGAAAACCCTCCAGGGCTCCTCCAGGAAGACTCTGGCAAGTTTTCCAGAGACTCTCGGGAGGGTTTCGGAAGGGTTCTCGTTTTGGGGGAACCCAGTCCCTAGCGAAACTTGGGTTTTCTAGTTCCGAGGCCCCTCTTGTTTGAGCTCTCCACCTCGGACCGCTCCTCGTTCCGGGCACTGGGGCCTCGGGAAGGAGCCGCTCCTGGCTCCTGGCCCGCGTGTCTTGGGGCCGCGCTCTGCCTGTAGCCGACAGCAGCACCAGAGCTCCCGTCCCGGATCCGTTTCTGCACGGCCCCAGCGTTGGAAAAGTTGGCCGCGGAGGCCGCGAGGGAAGAGAAGCGCCCGGATTGTAAAAAGTCGCATACCGTCGGGCCCAGAAAACCGTTCGGGCCTACCGGATGGGGCTTTGGCAGATGAGCTCGGAGGACCGCGCCGCATGGCCGATGCATCGGCGATGCGGCACGATGTGGAGCCCGACTTCCTCCACGTCGGCGCCACCGATGCATCGGGGATGCGGCGCGATCCTCCGACCCCATCTACGGTCGAGATCTTTGGCTTTACCGAGTCGCTCCGCCAATTCTGGCCCACCGCGCTTCGGCGCGACTTTTCCGAGCATCCCACCCCGCGCAGCGGCGGGACGCTGTCCGCTCGCCGGGCGCCGCGTGTCGCCGAGGCCGCCGCCGCGACGCGCTGAGCGAGCAAAAGTTCCCGACCGTTCTCGGGGCCCATGCTGGAGGCCTCCAGGCCCAGGGCCCGGGGTCGGTGTGTGCGCCCTCCCCTGGCCAGGCCAGCACAGGGCGCCGATGCGCCGATCCCATCGGGGGCCACGATAGGGGGGGAATAGACATAGGGGGAAGGCATCGACCCCCACTCGCCCATTGATCGCCGATAGGGACCCGATAGCCTCATCCCGCCCAGGATGGTGAATCCACACCTTCCTGGGCGGGATGGGGCTATCGGGTCCCTATCGGCGATCAATGGGCGAGTGGGGGTCGATGCCTTCCCCCTATGTCTATTCCCCCCCTCTCGTTGCCCCTCATCCCAGGCCCGGGGCCTGCCTGGGTCCACGGGGTGGGCGCACGCGTGCATGGGCGGGCGCCCGAGCGGGGCGAGGATGACGGGGGCGCGGAGCAGAGAAAACGGCACAGACATAGGGCGGGTTCACGTCGTCGGCGCGGCAGCGAGCCCGCCGCGGGCCTTCGAGGCGGGAGCGCCGCCATCCGCCCAGAAGCAGCCACTGCGGAGCGAGCTGGCGATCGGAGGACCGTCGGTCGGTCACGGGGCGAGCGATCCAGGCGAGGCGAGGCCCTTGCCTCGGCCTGTCGCCCTCGCCTGAGGCGCCGAGGTACCAGGGAGAGAGGAGGAGCGAGGAGGAGGAGGAGGAGGAGGAGGAGGAGGAGGAGGAGCGAGGAGGAACGAGGAGGAGGAGGAGGAGGAGCGAAGAGCGAGGAGCGAGGAACGAGGAGCGAGGAGCGAGGAGCGAGGAGGAAGAGGAGGAAGAGGAGGAGGAGGAGGAGGAGGAGCGAGGATGAGGGTGGGGGCGCGAAGAGGCCTCTGTCGAGGCCTGGGCGTCTGGGCCCCGAGGCAAGACGCTCGCGGAGTTGCGGTCGCTGCACGCCGCCCTGCGTGCCGCCGACGGCCTGGGGCTCGGCCTCCTGGCGAGGCCCCGCGCGGCGGAGGTCCTGGCGGAGCACGGCGTGTCCGCAGACGCGGCGGCAGTGTTCGCGCGCGGGGCCGCCGCTGGAGCGCAAAGCGAAGACGACGACGACGACGACGGCGTGGACGGCGACGACGGCGACGACCACGACCACGACCACGACCGCGACGACGACCACCACCACGACGACGACGACCACCACCACCACCACGACGACGGCGACGACCACGACCACGACGACCACGATGAAGACGACGACCACGACGACCAAGACGCCGACATCGACGACGACGACGACGGCGTGGACTGCGACGACGACGACGACGACGACGACGACGACGACGACGACGACGACGACGACGAGGATCACCACCACCACGACGACCACGACGACGACGACGACGACAACCACGAAGACGACCACGGTGACGACATCAACGACGGCGACGGCGACAACCACGACGGCGATGACGACGAGGGCGACCACCACGACGATGACCACGACGACTCAAGTGACGGCGTCAACCGACGACGGCGACCACCACGACGACGACCAGGACTACGACGACGACGACGACAACCACGACCGCGACCACGACCACGACCGCGACCATTACAACCACGCCGACGACCACGACGACGACCACGACGATCACGACGACCACGGCGAGGGCGACCACGACGACGACCACGACGACCACGGCGCCCACGACGACGACGACGACGACGACGACAACGACGACGACCACGACCACGACGACGACGACGACCACGACGACGACTTCGCCGAGAACGACGACTACCACCACGACCACGACGACCACGACGACGACCACGACGACCGCGACGACGACGACGACGGCGGCGACGACGACGACGACGACGACGACGACGAGGGCGACGAGGACGACGACGACGACGTCGACGACGACGACGACGACGACCAGCACCACGTCGACAACCATCACGACGTCGACGACGACGACAACAGCGACGACGACGGCTGCGACGCCGACGTGTCTGTAGCATGTGTGGCGCTTCTGGAGGTTCTCGTGGAAACGGCGGGCGCGGCTGGAAGAACCTAGCCACGGTGGACCCAGGAGGGGTCCCGCGGGGCCGGCGTGGGCCGAGGGGGGCTCCTCCTCTTCCTCCGCCTCTTTTGCCCCCTCCGCCTCCTCCTCCTCCTCCTCCTCCTCCGTTGTGTGCGGAGACTTCAACTTTGCTGTGTCGGAGCCTCTTCACCTAGCTCAGCCCAGCCTGAAGCGATCGACCCGCCCCACTAACAACAACCGAACACACATGAAGAGCTGGATGGCGGTGCTTGGCAAGATGCTGAGATCTCGGCAGAAGACCCTACGCATGATTGCAAGGACTCGCACTCGGTCGCTCAACTTGATCGTTTGTGGTTATCCGAGCCTGGGTGGGTCGCCTGCCAACTTCATCACTCCGCTGATGTGGTCTCGTCGCCCGAGCGCCTCAGCGATCAGCACATCTCAGACCACGCAGCTCTTCGTGTACACCTACAGCATCGCTCGCTCGACGATAACTATCGGCGGCCTGTGCCGCGGTTCGTGTATCTCTGTGAGGACCTTCGCGCTCGACTCGATAGGCTTCTCCGCCAAGATGGTCGATTCTTCACTGATATGTCTCCTCCTCGCCAGATGGAGAGGTACAAGGTGCTTATGGACGCAGCGGCTTATGATACGCTTCAACAAATTCTGTTCATTGACACGGAGAAACCTGAAGCCCAACTGATTTCCGCTTGGCAAGCCGCACGCGCTATCTGGCGGCAGGATGCACGTCTTGCGCAGAAGGTTGCCAACTCATCCGAGGTCTTCAACAGCTGCGTCAACATCACTTCCGAGGGTCTGGTTCAGTTGGTGCACCCTGCGGCGTTTCAGGCATGGGTGGAATCCATTTAGCACCGTGCAGCAGAGCAACAACTGGCTGTCCTCCAGCAAGGCGCCCTGCATGGGAAAGGCCGCGCGAAGGTCTCGCATGGTACTCTTCCGGCAGCTCAAAGGAAAGCCAAGCTCTGGGTCCCCTTCGGCAAGCGGCTCACGTTGCGTGCCATTCAGGTCGGCGACAAGCAGCTCTCCGATCCCGCCGAGAAACTGAATGCGTTGGTCAGCTATTGGGCGCCTGTGTCAGCGCGTCCACCGTCCTACCCTGTACATGCAGAGAGGTACACTCAGATGTTTGTCAAGCCGTGCGCGTTCGATGATTTGCCCCCACCTTCCATTCATATGCTTCAGCGCACGTTGCGGCGTATGGCGCCCTCGCGCTCTGCACCTGGTGTGGATGGCCTCCCTTATGTAGCGTGGGCAGCTCATGAGCAAGGAGCTGAGGTAGTATGGCAAGCGTGTCGTTGGTTGATGGATGGCCAGACGCTCTTCCAGGCTGCTGGTGCGACGCTGCAGGCCTTTTCTACCGATGACGAGCGGGGTGTTGTTCGTTCCCCTGATACTGCGCGTACTCTTGGCCTTCGCAACACGGACATGAAAGTCATCTCAGCGACGCTCAATGCGGCCTTCTCGCCGATCGCGCAGCAAACGACCTCAAAGACGCAGCGGGGCTTCATCGCTGGCAGGCAGTTTACATCGAACATTCTCGAGCTCGAGTCGCTTCCCTTCATCCTAGGGCGCAGGATCAGCAGCCGATCTTGGTGGCGCTCGACTTCGGCCAAGCATTTCCCAGTTTGAGTCAGCAATGCCTATTTACGGTGCTCAAACGGCTTCGCCTTCCTGATGCACTTTTCTCAGCCTGTTGCTCGCACTATGCCTCGGTCACAGCTGTGGGACGGCTGGGGGGGGAATTAGTACGGATCTCTTCGCCATAGAGTGCGGCATCATTCAAGGGCGTGCGCTGTCTGGCAGCTTGTTCGCAGCTGCTACTTCACCGTTTCTTGAAGACCTTCGTATCGGGTTGGAACTTAAGCACCGTGGCCTCTTTCGAGCTTGCGTTGATGATATTGGTGGTGTGTTATTTGCCTTAATAGACATGCGATTCCTGGCACGGGTCACGGCGGTGGCGGAAAATTGCCAATCTCAAGCTCAAGCCTCCGAAGTGCGTTATCGCCCCGCTCGCAGTGAGGTTCAGTGGCGCTCTGAGTGACGGGTTGCGGAATGGGCTAGAACAATTGGTACCTCACTGGCTCGCCTTCCGCACCGAAGCGAAGCTGCTCTACCCTGGCATGTGGCTGGGACCGGCCGTCTCTGAGCTATGCTCTTGGCTTTCCCCGTGGGGAAAATACAGATCTCGAGTCTCGGCGCTTGCCTCGTCTGCTGCGCCAGCTTCGCTGAATGCTATCAACTACATGGCCAGAGCGCCTCCCACGCTGTCCTATGTGGCACAATTCGCACCACTCCCCAGGCAGCTACTACAACAGGATATCTACAACTTGGTGAGGCTTCTGCGGTTGCCTGGTGGCGCCCTTCGGCATGTGGACTTTCACTGTCTGGGACAGTGGGGTGGCCCCAAGCTTCGTGCTCTTGGTCTTGCGTGTGCCTCTACACTTATTCGCTCGGCTCTAACTACCCATCCTGAACACTTTTCGTTACCTCCATCGTCTTCAGGTGGCAGCGGAGCGATGGGCCCCCTTCCGCGTCCTCGCTGATCTGCGAGATCGTCTGTCGCCTCATTTCTGGGAGCAATCTTCTTATGCCGAACACTTGGATCGGGCTTCGCAACGCAAGGCCTCGTCGGGGGCAGATGCGGCCCGCAAGCTTCTCGCAGAGTGCCCTGATGCCCGTCGCGCTATGCAAAGCGCCGCCTACTCGGCGCTATTCCAGGACATGATGCGACCGTTTCTGTGTAACGTTTGCAACACTGACTCCCCGCTGGTCGCCACGTTCGTCAAACGGTGGTCAAAATGGTTTCCATCTCTAGTGGGTGATCTCACACAGCTCGATTGAAAAGGTTTGCAGGACCAGATGGTCACCTACCCAACGGCTTGGGCTTCAGCACTGCTGCGCGGCTTGCGCGGTGGATGGCTCACGTATTCGAGGATTTCTTCGCCATCAGGGCCCCGCTCTTGCATCTTTGGTTGTGAAGGCTGCTCGGACGAGATCCGCCATTACCCCTGCTGTCGGGGGCTCGCATGGGGCATTGCCATGGCAAAGACGGGTGGTCGCATCGAACTGCCAGGCAACATTCTAGATCGGTGGGGACTTCGAGGGGCCTACGACGACGACTTGATGAACCTACAACTCGCCACCACCATATACCACGAAGTAAGGCATCTGGATTATGTCGGTCCTGAGCGGCTTCTCCATACAGCGCGTGGCGCTATTCGTATACGGGCCTTGGCGTGTCCGACGGCTGGGCGGTCGCGGGCCCTCTTTCGTCCGCGGTCGCATCTGGCTACGACGGAACATCCCGCGCCGCCCAATCCTGCTGTCCAGTGGCCTCCAGTACTCTCGTTCGATCTTCCACGTGGCCATCGCTCACTACACGATATTATACCTGGGCGCGTTTGCTTTCCGCCTGCATGGGGCGAAGCAAAGTTCGCTATTCCACAGCCGAGTGGGCTCGGTCCCATCATGAGTGTGCGGCTTGCTGAATTGGGCTCTTTGTTGCAATCTTGGGCGCGCAATTGGCTGTGCTCGTTCTTCTTCATTGCCAATGGTCTGACGGATTTTGAAGACCGGATGAAGTGGGCCACCGATTTCTTATGCATCGTCTTTCGCTACAAGCACTTCGTTGGCCTTTTCCGCGAGCCGAACGCCGCCTTGGCAGAACGAACTACTCTTGCGTCGAGCGTGGCTCATGTGGAGTGGCACAATTCTCAGGTGGGCCGCTGCAGGCTCGCCAAGCACTATGCTGAATTACAGCAATCGCGTTCGAGCAGCTGGTTCAAGGTGGCGAACGAGCGTGCTGAACTGTTCGTGGATCTTCGCCGGTGGACCCACGGCCTCACATCGTTCGCTGCGATCACACCTGACACCGTTGAAGAACTTCAACTCTTACGGCCTGAGCCCCGCCCCCTTCTCCCTGAACTACGAGACTGTCGCTCGTGTGGCACTGGTGTGTGGCGCTCTCGCGTTCATGAGTTGGCTGGGGAAATCGGGGTGGTGGAAAACAGTGGTGGCTGCTACGCAGGTCGTCATGGCGCCTGGCCACACGTCGGGACTGCAAGCGGTGACCCTCTTCCTCCGCGCTTCCCTGGGCACCCCCAGTACAGGGCGCTTCTGAATAGTATTGGGCGGTGGTCTCAGAGATGGGTTCCGAGTTTGCTTGTCGGCACCAGCGGCAGCGACTTACAGCAGTGGATGGAGTGGTGCGTTCCCTTCACTACAGACACGTTACGCTATCGCTGCTTCAAAGATCTATTGCAGTGTCCAGCCAACACGATGACGGACGGAGCGAGACGCTGGGAGCTCGCCATCGAGCTCTGCTTACATGGGTGGTATCAAGGCGCCCGACCGAGGGGGCAGTTTCGCCAACAGCTCAGCACCACGTGGACGCCCTATGTTCGCCGCCATCTTGCAGTGCTACGGCGTCTGGGGATGGCTCACTCGCGGCAGTTGGATTGGTGTCCTGACGTCGAGAGGATGCCTATAGAAGAGCGCGAGAATTTCCTGCTGGTTCGCAGTACGTTCTTTTCTGGTCCTGCGAAGGCTGCGGCCCCTGATCTGCACCTTCTCCTCCACCTACACGAGCAAGCCCCTCTGGATGCAGTGGTTGCTGCGGGCTCCACCCATCTGCTTGGCGAAGACAACGAAAGCATTGATGCGAGCGTCGTTCCCAAGTCTACCGACGAGGACATCGTGAATATGGGCGAAGCCACAAATGTCTCGGGGGCGCCCCCACCTGGTGGAGCGCCACTGCCTGAGAGCGAGTATGACACACTGGTTGCTGGAGAGCTCTCGCATCACATCGGGCATATCCCCTACGAAGCAGAGTTGGAAGCACTAGATCATCAGATGTCGTGCAGGTTCAGGGAGGCTGGAAGGCGAGTTCAAGACAGCACCGCTGCGGCCTTGTCGTTGGCACCTTCTGCGGCTTCTGCGTCAGCTATTCCAACTCTGTCTTCGCCTGCATGCCCTCCCTCGCCAGTGGCCGCCAACGATAGCTCTGGACATGAGGTTATTCAAACGGTGGCTGCATATGGGCATGGTGTCTTCTACCCCGACGGCTCCTTTGGTGGGGCTCACTGGTCCTCTTCATCCTTGACTTCACCTGGGTCTGTGTCTGCGTCGCCGCCACCTATTCTGGCCACTCCAGGTGTGGCTTGTGCGGGGAGCGCCCTCATTGAAGGATCTGGTGCGCCTGCTCACTGTGACGGTGATGATGCAAGTCGAGCTTTGCCACAAATGCGGGCGCTCCAGTCGGTCAGCGCTCTAGTTCGCTTTGTGATTACAGCGGTGCAAGGAGGCTCTTTTCTCCCAGCGGAACAGGGAGCTGTTCTCTCGCCTGCTCAGATAGTGGCTGCTACACGGTATCTGGATGACAACCATCTTCCTTCTGCAGAGCGGCGCGAGCTCGCGGTCTGGTTGCTACAAAACCCTGGCTCTTTACTGGAGGGTGGCGTGGAAGATGATCACGCTCTCCTGGTGGGCAACGCTGAGGACACGTCCAACGACGACGGTATGGTGGAGGTGGATGAGCTCCTGATGGCGCAGGCCGAAGCAGAAAGTTTCGAAGCTTCTGACGGGGACGATTGCAACATGCACTTCGATGAGGATGAGTTCAGAGAGGACGATGAAGATCAAGATGCACTCAATCAACTTATGGTCGCACAGATTCTCGCTGTTCCCTGAAGGTGCTGGACTTCATGGTGGAGATGCCGTGCACCATGATGGTGTGTCTCCTGCTGGGCTACGACTGGAAGGGTTGCGACCTGAGAGCGAGACTGTCCTCCCCGTACCTGGAGCTGATGAAGATCTCCCACCAGGTGAAGGATTTCATGACGGTGTGACCGTCGTCGCCACCCTGGTCGAGGTCGGCGGCTTCTTCGTCTCTGAGCTGGCCGGCGGCGCACGCGTCGGCGCCGAGGGCTAGGCGCGAGCGGCAGACGGACCGCGCCCCCCTCCGAGGCGTGGGCTCCTCCTCCTCCTCCTCCTCCTCCTCCTCCTCCTCCTCCTCCTCCTCCTCCTCCTCCTCCTCCTCCTCCTTCTCCTCGCTCCTCCTTTTCCTCGCTCCTTCTCCTCCTCCTCGCCCTCCGAGGAGCCCCCAAACAGTCAAAACGGTGCACGAAGGGCCACTCGGCGCTCGGGAGGGGTGCTGCGGTTCCCAGGCCGATTCTTGAAGTTCTTCGAGGTCGAGGAACCTGTCCGTGGCCAGGGCTCGCGGTGGCCAGAAGAGCGCCTTCGCTCCTTCTTCGGCGTTCCTTCAGGCACGGTCGGACCGAGGTATAAGGTCGAGGTCGATTCGGGAAGGGTACCTTGGTGTTTTTCGTGCTCGTCGGATGCTCTTGTGCATCCTGGGAAGGGCATCGTCGAGTGATTTTATGTATTGGGGAGTGTAGGCTGGTGGAGGGCCTCATGTTTCTGAAGGATGTCATTCTGTCTTAGGCCCGCCCGTAAGTATCACGATGGCTGTACCCCCCCTTGCTTTTGTTCACCGCCAAGGCAGCCCCGACGCGCTACAACAGGCTGATGGCGGAGGCGCTCCGCACCAAGGAGACCTACACCCGGCACTTCCTGAAGGAGCTCTGGGCCGGCGCCGCCGGGCGCACCATGGGGCTGCGAGATCTGTTCATCCACTGCCCCGGGCCTGGGCCCATCCTAGGTCGAGGAACGGTGCATACGCCCTCCATGGCCAAGTCAAGAGGGCGAGCACACCGCTGCCGGGCCCCGGATGGGCCCAGGCCTGGGGCAGCGGATGTGTATAGATCTCGTCGCCCTGGCACCAGCGGCACCGTCGGCACCCTGCCGCAGGGGAGGGTCGCCGCCCTGCTGGAGAGCGATCCCTTCTCCGAGGTGGGCGACCCCGAGGGCCTCTTGGAGCAGATGGGCGACAGGGGCGCGGGCAGCCAGATGGCCGAGTACGTCACCTTCGACGCCTTCCAGCAGGCACTCCTGCTCGTGCCTCCTCCTCCGCCTCCCTCCCCTTCTCCACCCTCCTCCGCCTGCTCCTCCTCCTCCTCCTCCTCCTCCTCCTCCTCCTCCTCCTCCTCCTGCTCCCTCAATCCTCCCTCACTCCTCCTCCCTCACTCCTCCATCCTCCGCCCTCCTCCTCCCTCATCCTTTTCTCCTCCCTCCCCGCGTGCGCGGGCAGGTGCTCGTGCAGGATGGGCGGGTCGGCCGCCGCCTGGGTGTCTCTGGCCACGCGCCCCGGGCGTGCTGCATGTGTTATTGACCTCCGAGGGAAAAGGAGCGGGCTACACGTAAGAGTGACCCTTCGCCCCGAGTGATCTCTGGTGTGGGCTCACAAGGTCTTTCCAGCACCATCTTGTGCGCTCAGATTCGCCCTGCCGCGGCACCCTACTAGGGCCGCGCACCAAAGGTCACTCTTGCCTAGGGTCACTCCTGCGCGTAGCTGAAGGAGGAGGAGGCAGCTGTGGAAAGGGGAGTTTGTTCACACCGGGCGTTTGCGTACAGTTTCGGGCCCAGGTGCCATCACTCGAAAATGTTGCAGGAAGATAGCTTCTAGGGCTTCGGGCGTGATTTCTCACGATCTTGCATTTTTGTTCGCAACGTCGGATCTCAGGGGTAGTGGAGAGGGGCAGGGCTGGCGGCGCGCAAAAACAGGGGCAGGGCGGCGGTGGCTGCCTTCAAGAGTCGACGAGTACCCCTTCTTTCCTGGAAGGCGTGGGGTGCATGATGTTATCGAGGACGCCGGCGGCGCATCACTTGCCGATCCCTGGGAGTTTGGCGAAGTGGCTCGCAGCATCGAGAATCGTTATGCAGCGCGCATGCCAGCTGTCCTTGCTGGGGGTTGCCTGAAGGCTTCTTTGGAATCCTCTTGGAGGCGGTTTTCTACATGTCTTGGAGCCTCTCAGAGCCTCTTAGCGGCCTCAAGGGGACTGATTTGGGCCTCTTGGCGGCCTCCATGGACTTTGGGGGGCCCTTTGGGGCTTGATCTTTCCACCTTTCAGCACATACATCCCTCTCGCCCCCCTTCGTTTTTTGCAAGGGTCGTGAACAGCTGCTACGCACTGCCAGGAAGTAGAGAAAGGAGACGGGCGCAGGAGAAAATAGTGAATCCGGGTGTCAGAAAACATGACCATTAGATGTCATGTTTTCTGATTCTCGGATAAGGACAGAGTTGAATATTGCGTCTCACTCTTTCGGGCCAAGTCTAAATTCCACTCTTTCTGAAGGCCCCCCAAACTGCCTGGAGGTGCCATCAGCGGCCAGGTTTCGACGCCCTTTCTCCAATTCTCATGCCTGCCGCCTCCCCGACTGCAGAAGGAGCGAGATCGCGAATTCATGATTCCCCCCATCTCCAGCGACGAGGAGGAGGAGCAGCAGCAGCAGGACCTCCGTTGCACTGGCTGTCGTCATAGTGCCTGGGGCCCGCAGATTCGTAGTGTCGCATTCCGTCGTGCTGTCCCTCGTCGTGATGCCGTCCTCCGTCGTGTCCCTCGTCGAGTATGTACGGCCCGTGCCCCATGGTGGGGCTTGAAATCAGATAAGTAGCAAAATTCGGAGCTGGAGTCGGAATGTTAGCGGCGATGGGGCCAGGAGAAATAGCAGCCAGAACCGGGACGGGATGGGCGAAAGAGTCGCGAGGTGGAGTTGGATTGGCGGCAGGGTCAAACGACGGAGTCGGACAAAGAGTATAGAGAGGGAGAGAAAGAGATAGATGTGTGTGTGTGTGTGTCCAGGCACCTCCTGTGTCCAAGGAGTCTAATTCGACCGGCTTGCGCGTGCAGTGGAGAGGGCGCGTGCAATCACGGCATCTCATCGCCACGTCCTCAGGGGCCACAGGGTGCCGGCAAGAGCCGCTCTCTTGACGCCTCGGCCGATCTGCCACACACGGCGGGGCGTAGCAACGCCGGTGGCAGGTCGAGTCGGGGGCGCACACCTCACGTTGCAGGTGAGGCGCGTTGTGTTTCCCTGCCCGAGCCCAATGTAGGCCATCGGCAGCTCCACCGTCCGTTTCGACCGCACCCTGGTCCGCCAATTTCGTCTACAGCTTCGGCAAGTACACCATCGCGCCTGCTACTACGCTTTTACAAACCCTTTCGACATGGAAGGTCTCATGACGTTGTCTACTGTGTTGTCGCGTGCTCAGGCACGCGTCTGGGCATTCAGTCGCTAATCCAGCTAGCGCTTACGAACAGGACTGCGACCACGAACGACGAATATACTCACGACCTACCTGTGCAGCCATGCAAAACCAGCAGGCCGTCCTGATGGACGGATATACTGTTAGTGTTTCCTGTGCCTCTCTTTCCCCTTCGTTCTCCCCGTTCCCCCGCCATTTTGCTTTGTTTCCCCCCTCTTCCGTGGTCAGCGCCACGGGGTGGCACCGCAACGATCGCCTCAACGTGGACCTCACAGCTGGATGACCTCATGACCTCCCTCTTCTCTTTTTTCTCTTTTTCTTGTTTTGTGTTTTTTTTCTCTCTCTCTCTCTCTTTCTCTCTCTCTCTCTCTCTCTATTTCTCTATCTCTTTCTCTCTCTCTCTCTCTCTCTTTGTCTCTCTCTCTCTCTCTTTTCTCCCTCTCTCTCTCTCTCTCTTTCTCTCTCTCTTTCTCTCTCTCTCTCTCTCTGTCTCTCTCTCTCTCTCTCTCTTTCTCTCTCTCTCTCTCTCTCTTTCTCTCTCTCTCTCTCTCTCGCTCTCTGCGTCCCTCATAACCTCCTCGGCCAGCTGCATTCCAGGGCGTCCCTTTTGCAAGGCCCGCTGGCTACGCGCGCGCACCGCGTCGTCGTCGTCGCTGCCGCCGCCATTGCAACTGCCGCCGTTGCCGTCGCTGCCGTCGCAGTCGCCACGTTTTTCGGCCACCTGCGCTGCACGGGCTGGCCGCGCCGAGCCCTGGCAGCCGCCCAATATCAGGCTACCCGCGAGGCGTTTGCAACGCGCGCGCTCTCGTCTGTCTCGCTCTCTAGTGACCCCTTCTGTTTGCCAGCCGCCGTGAGTCCAGGCCAACACCGAAGATCACCTTTCTTACGAAGCGCCGGCGGCGCGCGTGACTTCTCTTCCTTTTTTGGGGCACGTCTGGAAGATTCGGGCCCTGTTTTGTTATCGTCGCTGGCCCGCGCCGCCCGCTAAATGGGCGTTGTTGCCAGCTTCGCCGACGGGCTCGTCGTAGATGCGAGCCCGATCGATCATGCAGCTGGTCTTCAGCTTCAGCAAGCCTCCTTCCCTCCCCCTTGTCCCACAGCCCTGCCTTCCCACCTTTGGCAAAATCAATAGTCCCGAACATGGAGTGCGGCTGGCAGATACGGGCGCAGGCTGCCGTCGAAGCTACGGGCGCCGCGACTCACGATCAGCATTTGCGCGGAGTGCCTGCCTTTCACGTGCCTCCTCTTCTCCTTTCGCGCCTCCTGCTCTTCCTCATCCAGAGCCCCCTGCTGGAGGGGGCGCCTGCGCCGTGGCCGCCACGAAGGCGCCAGAGAAGAACGGGACGTTGCATTGTTTGAGTCCGCATTTCCACGCAGCACAGCCGCTGGGGGCTGGGGCGCCGCGAGCCGCTTCGGCATCGGGAAGGAGTTCGGAGCGCTCAGTTTTGCGAGGCCCAGTGGCCACCCAACGGATTGTTTCCCTTCCAGCCTTTTCCCTCGCCAGCAGTGTTTGCCCGCGTGCGCTGGCGGGTTCGACGCGATAGACTGATGCATCCCTCTCTTGTTTTTTTGTCATCTCTCTCTTTCTCTCTCTCTCTCTCTCTCTCCTTCTCTCTCCATGCATCTTCCCCTCCTTCCGAACCGTGCTAGTTGCGATCATCTTTGTCTAGCATGGATTGCGTTTCGAATGCGTTCGCAGCCCGCCTTCTTTTGCTACAAGTTGGCATTGGCTTCACTTCGGGCGTCGCTATTACGTCAACGTACTGGGCAACAGCCTTTTCAGTGTCCTCGACCAAAAGCTCGCGCAAGGTTCCCGCGCGATGCCCACCGCTGCATATCGTTTGCTCGAGCAGGGGGCCGCAAGTTCGTCGAGTGGCCCTGGCCCCCGCGCGCGCCTTTGCTCGGTTCGTTTTTTTGGCCCCGGGCCCCGCGCCACGGGCACCCCCCCGTGCCCGAGGAGTCTACTACGACAGGCCCGCGCGCGCAGTGAAGGAGGCGCGCGCCACGCATAGCATGTCACGACCGCGTCCTCAGGGGCCAGTAGGCGTTGGCACGAGTCGCCCTCTCGCCACCTCGGCCGATCTGCCACGCGCGGCGGGGCGCGGCAACGCCGATGGCAGGTCGGGTCGGGCGCGCGCACCTCACATTGCGGGCCAGGCGCGTCGCGCTTCCCCGCCAGAGCCCACCGTGGGACATCGGCGACTGCCCGTGTCGACCGCATCCTGGCCCGCCGAGTTCGCGCGCAACTTCGGCCACTCCACCATCGAACCTAATAATGCGCTTGCACTAAGCCTTTCGACAGGGAAGTTTTCACGACGTCGGTAAGAGCGCGCCCGCGTGAACGCGCGATTGGTTGGGAAGCCGCCGTCGGATGAGGACGCCGGAAAGGTCGGCAGCCGAAGCCAGATCGGCGGAAAAATCTGACACTAGAGTCGGAGGCGGATCAGAGTCATACGTCGGAAGTAGAAAGGCACGCGGAGCACAGCGGGGCCCAGAGATGGACGCTGGCGAGCGGTTAGAGCGAGAGTTGTTAACCATAGCTGCAATATGAGCCCCAGTGGGAATTGCCACGAAAGATCAGTCGGATCTTTTATTCAAGCCGCCAGGGAACAGCGCGAGATTCCCGAGAATTCGGCATCGTAGCGGCGCCGGCTACCGCCGCGCACCTCGCCGCCGCCATCTGGCGCAAGAAAACCGGGCGGAGCCAGTGTCGAACAGGCGAGAGGCAGGAAGAAATTGGAGCTGGAACGGATGTCGGGAAGATGATCTCGACAGCTACGCTGAACCACGTCGTGTCTCGCGCCTGACTCTGGCCGCGGGCCCAACAAAAGCAGCCACCCGCCAGCGTTGTCGGCGGAGAGGGGGCGCGGCGGCGCGGACCGAGAATCGGAAGGGGGATCGAAGCCAGAAGTGCCCCGCGAGAAGTTGCGAATGCGTCTCGCGTCGGACGCCGGGGTCGGAGCGGGAGTCGGAACCCACAACGGAAAGAGTCAGCCACGCGCAGAATGGGATAGGGGGAGGGGGGGCGACTTCCTAGAAAAAACCTTGCCTCTTAGAAGGCGCGGGCCTAATCTATAGAAATAAGACCGGCGCCTTCTAAGCAGCAGCTTCATTCTGAGAAGCCC